GTTATGAGGTATGGAAATGCATTTTTGTTAAAGGAAAAATAAGTAGATTTATTTTAAAGTAAAACTGGTTAGTTCAGAATGGAAAAGAGAATAGAGGACAAAATTAAATAGAAATTTGGGAAAAGAAAAAGAGAGAGTACCTTACTTTGTGTAATTTGGCTAAAATTGAAGGAGCTTATTATGAGTTATAAAACTAAGTTTTAAAGCAATAGTGTATTTATGTAAAACCAAAATATGATTTTCTTTCATCTGTTTAAAGGACAGTTTTCTTGGATTATGGGTCTGTTCCTGATAAGAATGTATGAAAGGTTTTCTTTACCTTTTAAGTAATCTTCCTGGAAAGCAAAGGTTTTGTAACTAATCAAAATTATTTCCTGTGTTCTTTATCATCAGGTCTTTCTTTACTTAGGGAAACTGAGTGTTCTCAATATTAAAAAAGCTATTTTTTGCACACAACTATGTGACCTTCTGTCTTTGCCTTTGAAATCTTTTATTGTTACTCTGTTTAAATAGATAATTAAGTATTTTTTTCATAATTATCTTTGATCTTATTTAGTCTTATTTAGTCAATTATTTTTTCATAATTATCTTTGATGTTTTTGACAAGCCTCCCAAAATCAAATTCTAAATGAAGCTTTTTTGACCTCAGACTAACTTTGGGATATCCCAGAGGGTCTCTGGAACATTTGAAAATATTTGTGCTATCTCCCTATGAAAAGAAAGATGTTACACTAATTAGACTCAATTACTATGGTAAATTATGTGGGAAGCATTGTCTAATAAGTGATGATAAACCTTCTTAGGTGATATTATTTGGGTGAAATATTATTAATATGTGTTCTAGAATTTGTGAAATTCCTAGAAATTGGATATGTTCTGGTATAACACTGTCACTTATAATTCTAGTTATTGTCTTGAAGTGTTGTGTGTCACAAAAAAAAAGCAAATTTCACTGTCAATTGCATTATAATGCACTCTCATGAGATCTTTAACAATGGTCACTTTTAAATCTTTTGTCCTTTGTGTTTATTGTTCACTCTGATCCTTTTGCAAAAGTGCTTTATCTTTAGTGAAACTCAAGGAAAGAGCACTGAGTACCAGTTTCTGGTAACTTTGAAGATCAGACTATTAAACTGGGTAAGAATTTACAGAACTATAATGGAAAAATTGGATTTACAAAACTGCTAACAAAAGATCAAGATCAACAAGAATTAATTATATGGGACTGAAAGAACTAATGATGATTATAATTGGTATGACTTTTTGTTTGAAATGTTGCTGATTTTTTTAAAAGTATAATTTATTGTCAAGATGGCTAACATACAATGTGTAAAGTGTGCCCTTTGCTTCAGGAGTAGATTCCCATGATTCATCACTTACATACAAAACCCAGTGCTCATCCCAACGAGTGCCTTCCTTGATGCCCATCATCCATTTTCCCCTTCTCTCCACCCCCTCATCAACCCTGTTTGTTCTCTGTATTTAACAGTTTCTTATGGTTTGCCTCACTCTTTGTCTATTTTCCCTTCCCCTCCTTCATAGTCTTCTGTTAAGTTTGTTACATTCCACACATGAATGAAAACCTAGGATATCTGTCTTTCTCTGACTGACTTATTTCACTTAGCATAATACCCTCCAGTTCCATTCACATTGTTGCAAATGACAAGATATCATTCTTTTTCATTGCTGAGTAGTATTCCATTGTGTATATATACCATAACTTCTTTATCCATTCATCAGTTGATGGACATAATATGGGCTCTGTCCATATTTTGTCTATTATTGATAGTGTTGTTATAAACATTGGGGTACATGTGCTGCTATGAAGCAGCATTCCTTTGGATAAATTCCCAGTAGTGCTGTTAGTGGGTCAAAGGATAATTCTATTTTTGTTTTTTTGAGGAATCTCCACACTGTTTTCCAGAGTGGTTGTACCAGTTTGCATTCCCACCAACAGTGGCAAGAGGGTTCCCATTTCTCCATATCCTCACCAACATCTTGTTAATTTCAGCCACTCTGACCGGTGTGAGGTGGTATCTCAGTGTGGTTTTGATTTGTATTTCCCTGCTGATGAGTGTTGTTGAGCATCTTTCCAGGTGTCTGTTAGCCATCTGGATGTCTTCTTTGGAGAAGTGTCTATTCATGTCTTCTGGCCATTTCTTCCCTGGATTATTTGTTTTTCAGGTGTTGAGTTTGTTAAGTCCTTTATAGATTTTGGATACTGAAACAAAATGACATAAAAGGCATCCAAATTGGCAAAGAAGAAGTTAAACTTTCACTTTTTGCAGATGAGATGATACTATACATGAAAACCTGAAAGACTCCACTAAAAAAATTGCTAGAACTAATACATGAATTCAACAAAGGATCGGGATATAAAATCAATGCATAGAAATCATTTGCATTTCTATACACCAATAATGAAGCAACAGGAAGAGATATCAAGGATGGGTCCCATTTACAATTGCACCAAGAACCATAAAATACCTAGGAATAAATGTAACCAAAGAGGTAAAAGACCTGTACACTGAAAACTATAGAAAACTTATGAAAGAAATGGAAAAAAATTCCATGCTCATGGTCTGGAAGAACAATATTATTAAAATGTCCATACTACCCAAAGAAATCTACACATTCAAGGCAATCCCAATCAAAATAGTACCAGCATTTTTCTCAGAGCTAGAACAATCTTCAAATTTGTATGGAACCACAAAAGACTCTGAATAGCCAAAGTAATGTTGGAAAAGGAAACCAAAGCTGGAGGCATCACAATCCCAGACTTTAGCCTCTACTACAAAGTTGTAATCATCAAGACACTATGGTATTGGCACAAAAACAGACACATAGACCAGTGGAATAGAATAGAGAACCCAGAATGGGGCCCACAAATGTATGGCTGACTAATCTTTGACAAAGCAGGAAAGAGTAGCCAATGGAAAAAAGTCTCTTTAGCAAATGGTGCTGGGAGAACTGGACATCAACATGCAAAAGAATGAAACTGTACCACCTTCTTACACCATACACAAAAATAAACTCAAAATGGATGAAAGACCCAAATGTGAGACAGGAAACCATCGAAATCCTGGAGGGGGAAACAGGGAAGAACCTCTTTGACCTCAGTCACAGCAACTTCTTACTTGACACGTCTCTGAAGGCAAGGGAAATAAAAGCAAAAATGAACTGTTGGGGCCTCATCAAGATAAAAAGCTTCTGTACAGCAACAGCAAAGGAAACAATCAACAAAACTAAAAGGCAACCAACAGAATGGGAGAAGATATTTGCAAATGATATATTGTAATGTTGCTGATTGTTTGAAAAATATTTTGTTTTTCAAGATTTAAAAGCAATCTTTTTCTCTTTTCTCTTAAGCTACCTATGACTTAGAGCAATTGGTAAAATATATCTTTGTGAACAAAAATGAAGCATTTATCTTTTTTTCCCTACCTGATAACCCCCGAATTCAGAAACTTTCAATGACTATTCTTATTTTCATGGCAATCTAGTTATTTTCATAAGTTCAATAATAGGACACAAATTGGTTATATTTTCAAGGCTTTGACTGAAGTGTCAGATTTGAGGATGTGCATAAAATCAGATATGCTAGACAGCTTTAAGGAACTAAGATTGACTTTATGGAGCCAATAAAGCTGTTTGGAAACACAGCCAGGTGCCCTGCTTATGGGGTTCCCAGAAACCTTACGGGGTGAATAAGGAACATCACTTCCTGGCAGGTGAAGGAACCTTAAGACACTGGGGGGCTTTGAGAAGAGAGGAAGTCACTATAATCTGTAAGTATTTCAGGCTGGTCTGATAGCAAGTCCTTGGCTTGGCTTCCCAGACTTTTAAAAATTCTATCTGAAGTTTTTAATGAAAAGTTTCAGGGGTGGCTGGGTGACTCAGTTGGTTGAGTGTCCAACTTCAGCTTGGGTTGTGATCTCCTGGTTCTTGAGATTGAGCCCCACATTGGGCTCGCTCCTGTCAGCCCAGAGCCTGCTTCAGACTCTCTGTCCCCCTCTCTCTCTGTGCCCCTCCCCTATTTTTGCTCTCTCTCTCAAAAATAAAAATAAACATTAGAGAAAAGTTGCAGTAACAGAGATTTAATCTGCTGTACCTTTGAATTTTTTTTAATGTTTATTTATTTTTGAGGGATAGAGTGTGAGCGGGGGAGGGGCAGAGAGAGCGTGAAAGACACAGAATCTGAAGAGGCTCCAGGCTCCGAGCTGTCAGCACAGAGCTGATGCGGGCGAAACTCACAAGCTTCGAGATCATGACCTGAGCTTAAGTCAGACGCCTAACTGACTGAGCCACCCAGGCACCTCAATCTGCTGTACCTTTGTAAATAATCAGGCCAAATCTATCTAATCTCTCTCTCTCTCTCTCTCTCTCTCTCTCTCTACCTATCTATCTATCTATCTATCTATCTTTAGGCCAAATTTACTGAGACTAGAATAATTTTGCAAAAATTTAGTTTTACTTATAATTGTCTTTAGTAAAAATGGGGATGCCTGCAGAGAGAAAAATCATGCTTCAGTAGAAACTGTAATACTTATGTGGATACCAGATTCTAGTCCTGTTATTTCTATTCATGTTAATTGTTTTTAAGTTTTTTTTTTTTTAATCTGTAAATCCTAGTTTCCTCATATGCCTACAAATCTCCAAACTTCAATTTTCTTCCCCTCTTTTGACTTGGAATCACTGAGAAAATTGCCTTTTACTGAAGCCCTGCAAACTGAAGTTAGAGGACTTGGAGTAGCTCATGGTTAGACAAACTTTTGCTGTAGGAACTACTGACAAAGTGGACTGATAGGCTCCATGACATCAGAGACATTCAAACTGCAAACCAGGAAGATCTGTCAGACTGCCACTGCCTGCTCTCACTCCACCTGAAGATGCTTTGAAGCTGACATCTAGAATTCTCAACTGGCAGTTCTCAGAACTCAGACCCTGGGTTTATAATTTGCTCCAAACATTAACTTTTGTTTTTTCTTTTGTGTCTATAGAAATGCCTCTTATTAAATCCCTGATGGCTTGCTTTCACAATATAGCCTGACTTTGGGTCGGCTTCCTAAAATGAGACACAACTGTTAAACTGAACTGACCGATTTCTCAAGACTGAGACTGCTTCAGTGAGATATGGAGCAATCTGTCAACTTAGCTTCAGGATTGTGAAATTTCTTATTTGAAATTCCAAAGGAGGAACTGAAAGGGAGCAGCTTTTGCCACCTCAAAATATGTGTCTTTGGCGTATTGATTATTTTAAAGTGGTAAGTTTTTAAGAAATAGCAGACATTGGTGAGTAAAAGCTACTCTTTTGATAAGATAAATCTCCATGTATAAGAATGTCTCTAGGGGCGCCTGGGTGGCGCAGTCGGTTAAGCGTCCGACTTCAACCAGGTCACGATCTCGCGGTCCGTGAGTTCGAGCCCCGCGTCGGGCTCTGGGCTGATGGCTCAGAGCCTGGAGCCTGTTTCCGATTCTGTGTCTCCCTCTCTCTCTGACCCTCCCCCGTTCATGCTCTGTCTCTCTCTGTCCCAAAAATAAATAAAAACTTTGAAAAAAAATTAAAAAAAAATAAAGTTTTACAAAAGTGCAAAGGCCAATGATATACATAATATGACTGTTAGCAACTAAGAGTTTATTATGAGGAATTTATTAATGCTAAACCAAAAATACTGTGTTTCTAATTTTTTTATAGCTTAATGAGTGTTCATAGTATTATGAATACTTTTTATGAAGGTTTTTGATTCTGTATGTAGGTTTTCGATTCCATTTATGAAAGATGTATGCATAGCATAAATGTTAAATGGGAAAGTAATCTAAATATACATTAAAAAAAGAAAACCTGCTTTTCCATTCAATGACAGTCTTCCTTTAAGTTAGGAATGGATAAATTTAAAGATAACCTCTTTGTCACTGGTCTGAACATCAGAAAACGAGGGCTTTGTTAGAAAGTGTGGTAATTGTAGACCTTCAGTCAATCCTGGAAACTGCTCTATTCTATTATCAGCATTCTAACTCATTTCAGCAGTCAGAATAGAGCAGGGAAAAGTGACCTTGACTACTGTACCTGCCCATCCTTGTATGGAATATTTGTCAAACTTGACAAATTTTGCAAAACTGTAACGCTGTGCACATTGAATGGAAAAATTTGAGAATTCAAAGCAGATAAAAGTGCTTTTCAGAACTCAATTGGTTTCCCCATCCCTCACTGTCAGGCCCATTCGCTATCACCCAATGTTTCTTTGTTTTCTTGTTCTTCTTGACATCCTCTCTCCCTCTATCTCTGCCTCACTCCTTTTCTCTCTTTCTCTCTCCCTCTCCATCTCTCTCTCAATCACTATCAAGACATCTCTTTATAAAGGCCCTTTAATACATCACAGTACCCCCACTTTTCTACTTTTAATTTCCTTTTTATTCTCTCTTGCTTTTTTCTAAATAGTTATAAATATTGAAGAAGAACCACATTATAAGGGAATAAGACCTACCCTCAAACAACAACAACAAAAACAATTTATCACTCACTTGAGCTGAGCACACTGCAAACTAAGGATCCTGGTCAAAGGAACAGGAGAATTTGCAGCTAGTTATTTTCTAGAGGTCTTATAACCAAACAGTCCCTTGAACACATAATACTTCCCTACTATTATTCATTCATATATTTCATGGTAGGAAAGTCACAGACTAGCCTTGATGTTAATCCCACTCTTTCTGGTCCTCTATTGGTCCTACATTATGCCCTAACCTAACTTTCCTTCTAATGAGAACTCCGATTTAATGCCCCTGGAAAAAAATGTCATCTAGATTTGTGAAGAATCTTATCTGTTCACTAAAAGTACTCCTGAGCTCTTTCATATGAATTCTGGAAATCAGAGAATCTACAGCAATACCCTCTTAAATCATACTAAGAAGCCAAAATCCCTTACGAAAATGCTGGGAGTTTTGAGCAAATATAATTCCCTTGCTGGCACTATCAGAATTGTAAAACCTTTGGGAAAACCTGGAGGAAAGAATCGATCTGTGATGCTAACTATTGAATCAACTGGTGCTTTGTGTAGGGTTAAGCCATTTGAAGCAGTCAAGAGATGTTACATGGACCTAGTGAGAGCTTGATGCATTCGGTGAGTTAATGAATACAACTGAATAGATGACTGAAAAAAAATGCATAGTTTGAGAAGTTGAATGAATGACCTTTCATAAAATGTTTCTGAGTGAGAAATATTGTTTCATCTCTTTTTCAGTCTGGCTTCTTTATGATCTGACATACTTATGGCCTTTGTGGTGAGTGTCAAGAAAGCCATTTTGGCATCAATACTCCATCTCAGGAGGCAACCATACCACCTCAATAGTCCTCTCCACTCTCTTGCTCTGAGCTCTCCAGTTCTTATGATCGTCCACATTGAACTCAATCTGTCAAATTTCAGTACCTAGCAGTCTCTTGCCACCAGAATTACACCACTATAAAGAGAGATGTTAACTTCCTTACTTCAGATTCTATAATGGAATTGAAAAATTGGGCCTGCTCCTCTCTTAAAGATTCCGATCTAGGGTGGATCTAGTCAGCCCTTATTCCTAAACCAAAACCATTCCCGGGTCTCTGCCTCTATAAAAAAATTTGGGACACATATCAAGATCGGCAATCAATACTGAGGATTGCCAAGGGTAACATCTGTGAAAATATGAAAGACAAGATTTATTTCTACATTTTTATGATGCCTTATCAACTATCACAATGATGTTCTTTTCCTCCTTTAAATTTTTGTCTATGAATATAGCTTTTAGAACTACTGAACAGATAGTAAACATAAGGAATCACACTTGAAAATCTAAATTTGGAGATCTTAAAATACAGAATATGACATATCAAATATGAATTTTTATATTATGCATGTTTTTTATTTCTGTTGAATTGGCTATTGTTTGGGAAGAAATCATTGCTCCTACCAGACCTTTCCATTTTTCTATGTAACATTGATTTATGGTTCATTTGAAGTTAGTAATGAGAAGGTCATTACATCAATTATACCTTTCTCACATCTCTTCTAGGTGAAATTAATTTTATCTTCCAGTGCAGATTATATTAAGTCAATATGATTATTGTTTTATTTCTGTATTTCTGATTTTATTATAAGTTATCTGTACATATAACTATGAAACACTTGCTTTTACATAAAGTAATTTCATCCCCATCCTTTTCATTTATTCAGTAGTTTAGGCAAGGATTATATTTAAGAAAACTGAAGAAAGATATATCCCACTTCAAACTTTAAACAGGGCCAGGTCTACATTAAGGCAGAGGCCATTCCTCAACCAAGAATGTAAATAATCCCCCAGACTTCAATCTAAGTTTCACTCTTCCATCTCTGAACCCAAACCTTTGTTTCACCATCAAAAATTCCCCAACTTAGAAACTAAGGTCAGTAAAAAGCAAAGTACATTTATCATACATATTTTTCAAGTATCCAGTGCTCAGTTTTTATTTCTGTTCCATATAGACTTATATAACTAATTTTTACATTATAATAAAAACAGCTAATACTGAGTGCTTACTGTTTGATAAGCAATATGGTTAATAATTTACATGCATTGTTTTATTTAATCAGAACATAAACTATGGAAACGCGTATGATGTTATTTCCATCTTATAGCCGAGGAAACAATTTAAATGACTTGCTCAAGGCCTGCAGCTAGTAAATGGAACTGAATACAGATCTGCTTTCAAAGTTTATTCTCTAAATCATTGCACTCTATTTCCTGTTTGTGAAAAGCATCCAATTTCTTTTTTTTTTTTTTTAAATTCAGGGATTATTTTTTAGAATCAATCTGATTTAGGAAGACATACATATAAAAGATAAGCTGTTGATAATAACATGAACACCTTTTGTTTTTACCTATAATTAATGTGAATGTTTGAAATTTGAGATAAATTTGAAAGCTGAATGATCTAAGCATTTATTCTAAATGACATACAAACAAATCAGTGTGCAGCTTATAATTAAGAACATTTACACAGTGGTAAAATGTTAACTCTTAGGACACCAAATTGTCTCAGTGGGAATGGTTTTACCATATGATAGAGGTTTGAATTTCCAAGCATTTGAGATAAGCATTTTTCTCCCTATATCCTAACAATGGAGTTGGAGCACTGAGTTGTCAGAGAATCAGGTAAGATCAACAGACTGAAAAGGGGTGGAGCAAATCAGCAGGGGATAGAAGAAAGCCCTGAAAGAGTCACTGTTGCCAGGCCAGTGAGGCTTTGTGGCTTTGGGAGTCTACCTTTCCCCACCATTATTCCAGGAATGGTTGGCATAGGGTCAGAAGCAGGGGGAAGCATGTTTTATAATCCCTTTGTATGCTTAAATTTGTCTCACTTCCCCTGTGGTAACTGGAATATAAAAAATGAATGTAAATCTTATAAAATGATTTAGTGGAAGACAGGTTTCTTATATTGTACTCAATATATTGATTGAATGAAACCCTAGATGTAAAAGGCCTTGTAAATTCAGATACAGCTCTTGAATAGAATCAACCACTCAAGTTTTCATTGCAGCAATGCCTTAACATCACCTTTCTTGTCTTGATGCAAGTGGGACAGGGAATCAGAGGGTATAAAAGAGAACATCTAATTTGCATACCTCACTAAGAAGCCTGATTCCCAGAGCAAGTGACTAGAGGGACATTTGTGTGAAGATCTAGTAAGCTTATTGAAAAAACCATGACTTTAATGCTCAGTTGACTAGGACTGGTTTGCTCTCCATCTAGTGGTTTTCAACTGGAACAGTGTTGTTCCCCAGGGGATGTTTGGCAATATCTGGGAACCATTTTGGTCATTAGACTCAAAGCATGCTGCATGCTACTAGCAGCTCTGGTAGAGGTGAGGGATCCTGTTAAACATCATACATTGCACAAGACCACTCACCACCAGAACAAAGAATTATCCATCCCAAACTGTTAATAATGTTGATGAGAAACTCTGCTCTGGAAAAATGCCAAAAAAGTTGAAAATAAAATTGAACAAAATAGGTTAAAACTTGTTGCCATTCTCTGTAGGAAGTACCTGAGTAAACAGGGAACATACTCTAAGATGGAAAGTGCAAGGTAACTAATTTTATTTGAGATGGTTACCATCTTGGCAAGAGTAATGATGCTGACCCACAAGAGATAATGGACCACTCTGCAAAAGGAACATGTGTGACCCTGAGATGATCTGTTTGGAGCCTCTTGGTATTACCTTGCCCGATTGTAACTATGGATGGACAAGGGAAAC